AGGCCTCATAAAATCAGGCTTGCTCTGTTAGATGAATGGCTGGCCTGTCATTCGTTCTAAGCAAGGCTAGGTGAAAATAATCCTGGTATGAACAGTTTGTTAACATACAAATCTATTCCTGGGTGAAAACCAACCAGCACCTGCATAAACATTAAATTTGGCCCATGATAATCAGAAGAAAATACATAAACAATTTAACAGTAAAGAGATTTGATGGACAAGTAAAATACCTTTTACTAACCAATAGAGTAACTGTCAAGAAAGCTACTGACCAACTGGAGTCACACATGATGTCTGTAAAACTGTATAAAAATGAGTTATGTGAATAAAGAACAGCCTTTTTCCTGCATGAAGAAAATGGAATCTATGTGATTTATTCTGATTTTGAGCTACACTGGGACTGTTGGGGGCAGCTCTCTGATCCAAAGAACCTCCCTGAGAAAGGAATCCGAGAGCCACAAAATATCCTGAGCTGGATGGACCCACAAGAATCATGGATCCAACTCCTGTCCCTGCCCAGATCCCCCAACAATCCCACCCTGGGCATCCCTGGAGAGGTCTCCAAACCCTCCTGGAGCTCTGGCCGTGCCCATTCCCTGGGGAGCCTGGGCAGTGCCCAGCACCCAGCACCCTCTGGGGGAAGAACCTTGCCCTGAAATCCAACCTAAACCTGCCCTGGCACTCAAGCACTGGGCAGCCATTCCCTGGGAGCAGAGATTGGAGCTGCCTGTGCTGCCCAGTTTGGCTGGAAATCCCACTCAGTTCAAAAATTCCAGCCAGGAGAAATTCCAGAGTAGACACTACAGCAAAAACATTCTCCATCACCTCTTGCACAATGGGATCCCAAACCAATTTCCCCTCTAACACTGGAATTGCAAACACCCTGCTCCACTCTGACCTTCCAAACAACAGGAAAACAACCCCACTGTAGAGCTGTTTCTGAGGAATTGTCTGCCACTGGGAGACAATTGTCTGTCAGCCTTGGCTGAAAGACCTCCTGGGACCACAGGGATACATCCAAGGGATCCAGAAAATGCCATGCAAGAATATTCTTCAAAATTCTCTGTGCTGCCCTTGCAGGAGGTTGAAGCACATGTCTGTGGGGAAGGCACCAAAACAACCCAAGGGACACAAACCAATTCTTTTTCACAGAATTCCAGACTGGTTTGGGTTGGAAGGGCCTTAAAGCTCATCCAGTTCCACAAGCTCAGGTTATAAGACTATTCACTATAAACCATAAAGCTCTTTCATTCAAGAAAAAGTCTTGTTAATAAAAATCAGGCTACATATGTTATTTGAAGCTGGGAATCTTATCTTTTCTCTCCCCCCCCCCGGCCTTTTTTTAATAATTTAATACAAGTTTTTTATGGAGATGCCCAAGTCACATAAATCCTCCCTAATTTTCCAAATACAATCAAACACAACAGTGGTTTATGAATTGACCAGCCAGGCTGGATGAAAACCCACTCTAGAAGTACCAATTTAGTTAAAAATTGATAGATAAATTGATTTAGTTAATTATCTAAACTACTCTAAAGCAATTTAATTCTACCCCTACACAGGTGCCCACATGAGATCACCAAAACACTCCTCTATTTTTCCACCTGATGTTCTAAAAATCAAAGCATTTTTAGTCACTAATACAATGCCATCAGAAAAGGAAAATCAATTTTTGCAGGCAAAATAAAATGCTTTCCTTGATTTTGAATCTGACAAAGATGCATTTGCTTTCAAGGGGAGAAAATGTGATGCAGTAATGGGTAAGGAAGGTGTCCCTGCCCATGGCAGGGGTGGGAATGGGGAGGGACATTTCCAACCTAAACCACTTTGGGATTCTCTGCCCTTCATTAGCACCAAAATATTTACAGGTTCAGTTTTTTTTTTTTTTCCACTGTTGCAACTCCTACAGGTTTTATAGCAGCTTTGAATAGACAAATGTCATGATTTTTCCTTAATTACTGGATATCAACCCACTGCAAACACTGAGGAGAAACCCCAGCAAGCTGATCAAAATTGCCTCTTCCTCAGGTGTGGTGAATTCTCCAAAGCACAGGAATTCCATCCATGAGCACTTCCCAGCCTGTGCCAGCACACCAGCCTCCCACAGCCCATCCTCTTGGCAAATGGATCATAATGGAAGTGCCACTTTAGATTCTGGCTGATTGATAAATACCCCCTGCTCAAACAGGAAAGGAGCAAAGTGCATAAATTTGATTAATTCTCCCATTTGCTTCATACTTTAAAAAAAAAAAATAATAAAACATGTCTGTTCTTGTTACCAGCTCTAAAAAGTGCCAATCTCATGACTACAGTGCAGTGGTCATGTCACTAATCTTAATTAAGCCCTTTCAGTTTAAAGGTTTAATCCACATATTGTGATAGCCTTGTTGTTGCCACATGGAAAATTCAATGGGAACCCCCCAAAAATCCACTTTTTTTCATAAGGAAGTTGTAATAATGCCCATGGTTGCTTGGCAGGGAATGGAAGTGCTAAGAACTTCCATAGGAGGGCAAAATTGGTTTTCTCCTTGCTTATTACCTAATATATTCCAGAGGTAAAGAACAGCTGAAATCCAGCATTTCTGATTAGGATGTTTAGGGTTTTTTTCATTGTCTCTCTCTTTGAGAATTCAACATTTATCAGCAATGCAGGTGAGTGCCCCCATTTCCTGCCCACCTTCCTTCCTGCATTCAAATATTCCTGTATTGACTTAACCACCTTTTCTATTTTACAGTTTTCCATAATATCTTAACAGAAGAAAAAAAAAAAAATCGATCTTCTCATATCAGAAGGAATATTTTAAAGATTAAATTCAGCACATGCTGCAAAAATAGCATATTTTCTGTTTGAAGGGAAACATCACACGTTGCACCCCTCCAGATAAAACAGAATCAGATCCTACAAATGCAAGAAATGAGAAATGTACAACACAAGAAGCTGAAGGTTTGATTTGGTACAAGCCTGAGCCATTATTCCAATGGTCCCTGAAGGATACAGCATAAAAACTTTTATTGCTTTTGCAAGTGGCACATAATCATTCTTACAGAGTGATCCTTTTCCTTACTGTTTCCTTATTTTCCCTGACTGCACATTTACCACAGCAACAGGAACCTACTAAACCCTATAAACATGGCCATTAATGATTGGAGTTGCTATTTAGGCACAGAAAATACCCTCTCCCACCGTTAATTGATTTTAAAATTGACATTTTGTGCAGTCAAGGTTTGGGAAGAAAGAGCTACAGGGCTTTAAGCTGTAACTCCTTAAGGATATGGAGAGTCATGGAATGGTTTGGGTTGGTAGGGACCTCAAAGCCCATCCAGTGGCACCCCTGGCATAGGCAGGGACACCAAGCTGTCCCAGGCTGCTCCAAGCCCTGTCCAAACTTGGTCTTGGGCACTGCCAGGGATGGGCTGTGCTTTAGGGCTTTTCCCAGTGCTAGGAGCTGAATGGGCAGCAGGGCAGGGAGGGATGCTGGCCCTGGGGCAGCCCTGGAGGCACCTCTGCAGTGCTGTGTCCAGCTCTGGGTGCTGAGCACAGCAGGGCCAGGAGCTGCTGGAGCTGAGCAAGGGCCTGGAGCATGTGGGTGCCCTTCCAGGCCAGGCTGAGGGAGCTGGGGCTGCTCAGCCTGGAGAGGAGCCCCAGCTGAGAGGGGCCCTCAGGCCTGGCTGGGCCTGGCTGCAGGGAGGGGCAGAGCAGGGCCCAGGCTCTGCTCCGGGGCCCAGCAATGGCACCAGAGCCACGGGCAGGGCCTGAGCCCAGCAATTGCCCTGCACAGGAGGCACAACTTCTGCCCTGGGCAGTGCCCAGCCCTGAGCACATTGCCCACACGGCCTGGGGGCTCTCCTGCCTGGGGCTGGGGCACAGCTGGCTGCACACAGTGCTGTGCCCTGGGCTCTGGGATGGCCCTGCTGGGGCAGGGAGGGGGCACCAGGTGCCCACTGAGCTCCTGCAGCCTCACACACCCTGGCATCCTGTGAATATTCACTACTCAGATATGAATTATTCACCTCTACCCCAACCTGATCCATGCTAATGATATCTCAGGTTTAGCTTTTATATTTTTCAGATTCTGTGCTGCTTGAGTGTGTGGGTCTGAGCTTCACATTAAGGGATGGTGAGCTCTGTGCACAGAGCAGGGAGACAAAACAATTCCTGCTCTAGCTGGGGACCAAGGACAAATGATCAGGCCCAAGAGCACAAACAAAGTGGACTGAGGAGAGGAAAACAAGGATAGGACTTCATAACCTAAAGCTGGAATTGGACAATGAAATCCAATATGCAAATGGAGCAGAACTGATCAAAGTGACAGACCCCATGACCGGGTGTCCATTTTGTGCCCATTTTGGTTCACCTTGGGTGCAGCCCTGGCTGGGCTCTTGTGCTGCCCAAGGTGGATCCATTGAGGCCTTTTAATAAATCCCTGCTTTATTCTTTAACTCTATCCAGCCTCTGTTCTAGGGCAGCCTTCACAAGACATCACTGGGATTCTTGAAACACTCACACAATGATCTGTATCACTATGTTTCAAAATGGGCTGTGAACTGAACACATAAAACAGAAACCAGCTGCATTCTTAGGACAGCAGGGCTCATAAAAAGCAAGGGGACAAGGGATGCTGAGCTTGTTCACACAATGTAAAGTGAAATGTTACAACTCTGCCAAGGTTCATTCTGTTTCCACAAACGCTTCACACCCTTCTTCCCCCCATGGAGCTAAGTGATGCCTGACAGGCTAAGACACAACACGGGATCTAGAGAAGGGAAGATGAAGCTAATATTTTGCAAGGATGTCAGGAAAGAAGCTAGAAAAAAACCCAGAAAAACACCAACCTGAAAACCCCCACTAACAACCAAACCAACCTCATCAGGTCAAGGAAGAAAAGACTAAAAAGGAAGAGAAAACCACAGAAGAGACACCAGGCCCACACTACATTTTCTACAGAGCTTTTTGTTTTCCAAAGAATATCAAAATACTGAAAAAATTCAGCCCAAATTACCTTAATAACCAAGTCAAACTTCTGATGTAAATCCCTATTTATTGGCTTGAGGAGTGTCAGTTCAGCTGTTGTGAGATTCATATGGAAATACTGGGGATAATCCTCAGGAGTACCTGCAAAAAAAGACATGAGGTTTGAACAGCTCTGAAAGGTTTAGTCCAGCAATGTGTTTATTTTACTCATTAATCAAAAGAACAAAGCCTCATTCTGTTATTGGAAGGATAAAATATTTCCTTATGTGTACACAGAGCTTAAGGATACTATGAAGTTATGTGTTAATATTATTAGTTCCTTACTCTCCAAAACCACAAAGATTTCTCTCAACTGGGACTCCCTAAGTACTTGACAACAGCAGGAATATTATTAACAGCACATAAATAATAGATATAAGTAATAACAACATGGTAACAACAGATCAGTTATTTTAGAAATTCTTCTGGGAAACATTTTTCCTCAGGGAGGAAGCATTAAGATGAAATTTCAAATTATTGTTAGCTCTAAGTGGTGTTTTCATGGCTGTGAATTTCCAAGATATTCTCCATTCAGAGCCTGAATGGATTTAGGAGCCCATGGAGATGGAGGAAGGGCTGTGCCTGGCAGCTGCAGCCCAAAAATGCACCTGTGCCTAAAGCCAAAAGGTTCTAACACCACAGCCTGGCACAGGAGGAGGGAAAAATCCCAGCTAAAGCAATTCTGAGCCCTGAGATTCTCAAAGAAATGGTGCAGAAAGGCCCAGAAATCCCAAGTGTTCCACACAGAGCAAACTCTAGCATTCCCAGCTCAGCAGTACTGCGAGAGCATCCCAAGGAGCCAAAATTCTGATTATAAGAACCCTAAAATCTTGAAGAGTTCAGGTCTGGGGGCAGTCCTGTCAGCAGCTGAGGGCAGAAGGCACTCCTGGCTCAAGGGATAAGAACCCCAAAAAAAAATCCCTGAGCCCCTAAAGCTGCCCTGGGAGCAGCACAAACTTGGCCCTGCCAAACCCTGCACCCAGCCAGGGCTGAGACATAAATTGAAAACAAAGGAAGAAAATTTTCCTAATAAATGCTGCTGGTTTTTGTTCCCTTTACAAGTGCAATGGTTAGAAAGTACTCTCAGAAATCCAGGAGATAAATTACTGCAATAATTTAATTTCCAATTGTCCAATGACAACCATCTGCTAGATAGATTATATACATAATTTAATAGATAATATATAAAAATAATACACAATAAACAATACTACATATAATATATAATCTATAATACATAAGATATTATAGTATATATAATTAATATATATAATCTATAATATATAAGATAATATATGTTATCTGTATTATAAATATATATCTCCACATATATTTTTTTTCTGTGATTCTCTTAATCTACACTGATATCTATCATTGACCCAAAAAGCAGCAAAAGAATCACCATGCATTATTTTTTCTCTTATACCACCAGCACAAATGCAGAGCTTCAAGTTCCAGGTCCTGTATCCCCTTGCCCTGCCTTTAAATTTCACGTTCTCATTAATTAATCTAATTCTTGAAGAGCTCAAGGCACCCAGCAGGAGCTCCAAAATTCTGGCAGGAAACAGATTGTTGGTTTTAAAGGCTGCACATCAGCAGGGCTGCTGCTGAAGCTAAAAAATGTCACAAAATTAGGGAAAAAATGCAAAAAACTCTGAGACAAGAGGATAAAAAAAGTGCCCTAAAGGAGAACAAATATGTAGGGGAGGGTAAAAGTCACAAAGGGGTCTAGAGAAGGGAAGATGAGGTTGATATTGTGTAAGGATATCAGGCAAGAATCCAGAGGGAAAAAATGGAAAAAAAAAAAAAAAACCAACCCAAAAAACTCCACTCACAACCAAATCAATCTCAGCAGGTAAAGGAGGAAAAAGGCAGCAAGGGGGATGATAGAAAAATTTTAAAAAATTAGGGATAACACAGGTGGATGCCCAAAATCCTGACTGGGGATTCCTGCTCGGCTCCTGCCCACCTCAGGAAGAGATTCCTGGATTTTTTAAACTTTGGGAACCAGCTTTTCCAGGAACAGGGATATCTGCTTCTGCATGTACAAAATAATTTTCATTTTGACAGCACAGAGCAGCCCTCAGTCCATCTCTGCCTGTGCTGAAATCCAGGGATGAACTCTGAGGCTCCTGGCTCCAGAAATTGCATGGGTTTAGAGAGGTTGAAGGATCAAAACGTGGAGCCAAAGTTCCAAAGGCAAAAAAAAGCTGATTGAAAGGAAAATTCAGATTTTCTCAAGGACTGACCCCAGAGAAAATGAAGGCTTCAAATTGCTCATAAAAAGAATATTTTATTAGTAATTTATTATTAAACATAATACATTTTACTATGAAAAACAATACAATTTTCTAGCCAAAAAATGAAATTTACTCGTAGAATCAATAACACTGCTAATAAACACAAAAAGGAAATAAAGGGAAGGGCCTTGATGCATATCTGGATAAGTCCAAGCAATGTGGGTGCATTGCAAAGACTCAAAGAAATTAACATTTCCAAAAGCCAAGGATTGGAAAAATTAGTGTATTACAAAAAAATAAAAAAAACCCCATAAATATCCCATTCCCAAACCTTAAATATATTAAATATCCACAGTGCCCAGATCATGTGCCTTGCACAGGTGAGCAAAAAAACCCAAATAAAACGGAATCAAATTAAATAAAATTAAAATAATTCTAATAAGTAACTTATTCTCTCATTCCACAGTTTCAAACCTCCCTGTGTTTAAAAAAGGACATTCCTAAAGATATCAAGGAGAAGGAGGTTTAGATCTAAGAAAAAGGGGGGGAAAAATCCACAAAATAAGACATATCTGCAAGGGCTGTTTTCTGTGAAACTGCTTAATATTTTCTGAGGCTAAAACAGAAATAGCAAATCCTGGAAGAAATGAAGACAGACTTCAAATCCAAAAAGAAATCCTTAGGAAGAGCATGGGGGAGGGAAAATAATGAAAATAAAAGAGAAAAGCAGATGAGGAAAAAAAAAAAAAGAGCAAAAGGAGGAGAAAAAAAGGAGGAAAAAAGGTACAAAGAAGCAAACAAGGATAAAAAAGAAAAAATGAATTTTAAAATAAAGAAGATAGAAAGTAGAAAAAAGAAATGAGGAAAAAAGATGGAAAAATTAAGAAGGAAGAAAAAAGGATAAAAAGGAAAAAAGAAAATTTGAAAATATAGGGGAAGTAAGGAAAAAAGAAGAAAAAAAGGAAGGTGAGAAAAAGGAACATATAGGGGGAAAGAAGGAAGAAAAGAGAAGGAACACAGGAAGGCAAAAATCAGGAAAAAAAGAAGGAAAAAGGAAAATAGGGAAACAAGGAAAAAAGAAGTGAGCAAAAAAAGAAAAGACATGTAAAGAAAAGAATAAAAAAGACAGAACAAAGATCAAAAGGTTAGGGAGGAAGGGGAGAAGAAGGAAAAAAGAAAAAAGAAAGAAGAAGGGAAAAAGAAGGAAAACAAGTAGAACAAGGAAAAGAAGTAGAATAAAAAAGTGAAAGAAAATAGAAGAAAAAAGAAAGGAAAAAACAAAGGAAGAATGAAGGAAGGGAGATGGAAAAGAAAAAAGAAAGCAATAAAGAAAAAAGAAGAAATAGAGGAGGAAAGGAAAAAAGTAAAGAAAGAAAAAAAGAACAAAAAGAAGAAAAAGGAAAGAAAGAAAAAGAAATGGAAAAAAAGGAAGAAAAAAATACGATCCCCAAACAAACCCAAATTGCTGCACCACACCTTCCTGAATTATTTCTTGGAAGTCCGAACAGCCACTCGAATATTCCCAACATCCTAAGTTAGGGACACACAACCTTAAATAATTTCACTCCTGAAGAACACTCTAAATTATGCAAGAAACCTTAAGAAGTTGGCCTAAAAGTGGCCCTAGGGGTGGAGCTGTTCCTGCAGAACTTAGGAATAAAATCAATTTATGACATTTATAAATAAATCCATTTGCAGAGCTAAACTTCCACAAAATCTTCACCTGCACCTCACCTTGGCTGGGAAAACCATGGATTCAACACAGGGAAGACAGGGAAAGATGGGATTCTACAAAATTCTCCCTTTCCAAATCCCACAGAAAGGTCCCTGGGTGGATTTTGGGACCAGGTGGAACCCTGAAACTGCCAACCATGGTCACATCCTACAAACCCAGAAACAAATGGCAAACACAGGGAAGCAAAAGGAAAAAGAAGAGAGAGCAGCATAACCAACTAAACCAACTTTAAATTACAAAGGAAAGCTCACAGGCAGCAAAACTGGAGGTGGATGTGGTAAGATCCTTGGAGCTGCCCTGTGCTATGTGATTTTTGGGATGAAATTTGCTTTAACTGCCTTTTTTTAGCCTTTTTTTTTTTGTACACATCCCAGTAGAGATCTCCTTTCCCTCCCTGTGTTGTTCCTTTCACTAAACCAGACAACAATTCTGGATTTAATCTAAATAAACACTAATAAATAACCACAAGAAATCAACTTCCACGTGGCAATAAAACAACAGGCAGAAAAACAATTCCAAACATCCCACTGACCACAAGAATAATTTTTAATGAGGGTTCCACTCTCCCAGGCAATCTTTTCTTGGCTGACAATAAGCAGATTGGGAAGGATAGGAAAAGTAGCAGACACCAACCAACTAGGATGGAGTAGAGGATGCCAGGTCGATCTGAAGGAGGCTGGATGTTCCTGTCCTGGTCTATGGCTTGGATGGGTGGAGTGACAGTGATGGGATTCACATGGACCTGAAATGAAAAAAACACATTGGAAACAGAGCAATTAGAAAGCCAGCAGAGAGACCTGGAGGTTTAGCACAACAACAGCTCACTGGGAATGGTATTGGAGAAAGAAAAACCTTCAGAATGAGAATATTTACAGCTCATGGCCCCTTTAAATCCAAATTAACCAAGCAACATCAACATTTCTATAGCAGCCGCCTTTCTATGAGATACATCTGGAGGATCTAAGATCCTACAGATCCTGGAGGAAAGGAACCACAAAATCCCACAACGGCTGATATGGAAGGGACTTTAAAGCCCATCCAGTGCCCCCCCAGCCATGGGCAGGGACACCTTCCACTGTCCCAGGCTGCTCCAAGCCCCAAAGTCCAGCCTGGCCTTGGACACTGCCAGGGATCCAGGGGCAACCACAGCTGCTCTGGGCACCCTGTGCCAGGGCCTGCCCACCCTCCCAGGGAATAATTCCTTCCTTATATATATCATCTAAATTTCCCCTCTATCAGTCTGAACCCATTCCAGCCTGTCCTGACACTCCAGTTCCTGATGAAAAGTCCCCCTCTGCCTTCCCCAGAGCCCCTTCAGATCCTGGAATGAGCTGTGAGGTCTCCACACAACCTTCACTTCTCCAGCTCCAACTTTCTCAGCCTGGCTCCACAGGGAAAGTGCTCCAGCCCCCTCATCAGCTTAGAAGCTGATAGTAAACACTTGATAGAGGAAGCTCACAAATACTTGACTGAATTTCTATAAATAGTCCCTCTAATCAGGGATTTCAGCCATCACACAGTGAAACACAGCAAATGCCTGAAAATAGGAAAACAGCAAGCTGAACTGGAGCATCATTAGGAGCTGGGATGGCTGTGATGCACAAATATACAATGCAAAAGAAATTTAAAGTACAGACATACCACAGTTGAGAGGGCCACAATACACAGAATATCACCAAACAATATCAGAAAGCTTCACCCCACACACAGTAACACCTTACCAGGTCAGAAGGCTTCAGGTATCTGCCCACACAGAGTAACACCATCCCACTTCAGAAGGCTGCAAACAACTGCCCCTCCTGTGCTTCAGCCCAACCTTTGATCCCCTCATGTTGATGCACTGCACCTGTGTGCCCTCTGCTCCTGTGGGATTGGTCAGTGCCCCTGGGCTCATTAATGGCTCATTATCTTTAATATCACTCACCTGTCCTGCACAGCTGCAGCCCATTGGGGATGAGGCTCAGCCCCAGCCCCACTCCCAATGACCACAAACTCTGTGCCCACACACCAGCCCCGTTTGCAGGAGGTGCTGGGCACTGCCAGGGCAGCCCGAGCTGTAGGTGGTGGCAGCTTGGGGACACATCCTGCACCATCTGGGATTTCAGGAGCTGACAGCCCAGCAGGGCCACAGGGCCCTGGACATGAACTCCAGCCCTTTTCCTTGGGAAACAAAACTCACCTCTGACAACAAAGGTGTGATTTACACAGAGGAATGCTTCAAGCATCATCACTTGGTTGTTCTTCAGCCCAACCTTTGATCCCCTCATGTTGATGCACTGCACCTGTGTGCCCTCTGCTCCCTGTGTGGTTGGTCAGTGCCCCTGGGCTCATTAATGGCTCATTATCTTTAATATCACTCACCTGTCCTGCACAGCTGCAGCCCACTAGGGATGAGGCTCAGCCCCACTCCCAATGACCACAAACTCTGTCCCTACACAGACATTTCAGGGAAAGTTACATAGGACAAGCGTGGATGGGTGCAGGAACAATTCACCGTTATTTGGAAGTGAATTCAAATGTTTAACATGGAGATGGAATTGTAGAATCATGGAATGGTTTGGGTTGGAAGGGACCTTAAAGATCCAAAATCCCACCCCCTGCCATGGGCAGGGACACCTTCCACTGTCCCAATCCAACCTGGCCCTGGGCACTGCCAGGGATCCAGGGGCAGCCACAGCTGTGCTGGGCACCCTGTGCCAGGGCCTGCCCACCCTGCCAGGGAACAATTCCTAATTCCCAATGTCCCATCCATCCCTGCCCTCTGGCAGTGGGAAGTCATTCCCTGTGTCCTGTCACTCCATCCCCTGTACAGAGCCTCTCTCCTTCTTTCTTGTAGCTCCTTTAGGTCCTGGAAGGCCTCAATGAAGTCACCCCAAAACTGGTGCCAGCATTCATCTCTGTCAATCCAGCCTCCAGTGGCAACTCCAGAGCTGCCATTCCCAAGTCCCACATTTTCAGTGACCTTGGATGCTCAACCAACCACAAATGTACCACACATGGATGTCTGCACACCAGGCTTTCCCCTCCCCTTGGAACATTTCCCTGCATGACAAAAACCCTTAATGAGCTCTGTGAAAAGCCAGACACCCTTTTTTTTCCCCCACATACAACTGATCCTGGCAGCCTTTCCTTTGCAAAGCTCTGTGTTCTGCAAGAGGAGACTTGAAATTTAGCATGGGAATAGGAATGAGACAAGCCCACGCTCGGCCAAGTTTTGGCAGAGCTGTCAGAAATCATCCTGCTGTGAGCTGGAAGGGAGCTGGGAGAGCTTTGGCATTGCTGAGGGGAATCTTTCAGGGAAAAGGGATGAGCTGGAAGGGGGAGAAGGTGCCAGGGGTGGAGGAAAAGCAATTTATTGATCCTTGTGGGCAGTCCCATGGTCATTGCCACCATACCCCAAGGTGTGTCCCCCAGACATTTCCAGCAGGTTTCTCAAATCCAGAGGCTCTTCCAGCCTTTTCCACACCAGAGTAATTTAAGATACAGACATGTCAGGGATAGGCACATTAAAAAGTGAGGGTGGATGCTCTTGGCCTCCCAAATTGGGACTGGGAGTCCTCACTCCACTCCTGCTCATGGCTGTTGTCCCTGTCCCACTAGCCAGGTCCTTTGTCACCACACAATTCCATTTAGGATTCTCTGAAAAATTAAACTCTTAAAAGTATAATGAGGGAGACAAGCTCAAAATAGGCAGAAAGAAAGAGAGAAGAAGATATATTTGACATCTGCTTAAATTTTTAAATGGCTTTAGGATGGCATAGAAGTTGCATGGGAAGAGAGAAGATTATGCAGAAAACTGACCAAGACTAAAATGCTATTTTTAAATTCACTGATCAGTTGGAGCCCTCTCAGAAAACTCCACGTTTGAGTTAGAAACATGAAACCAATCCACAAAAATCCACAACAAAACCAATCCCATCTGTTAGTCTGGGTTTAAATTCACCATTAATGCCCAGAGCAGCGGTGGCTGCCCCTGGATCCCTGGCAGTGCCCAAGGCCAGGTTGGATGGGGCTTGGAGCGGCCTGGGACAGTGGAAGGTGTCCCTGCCCATGGCACAGGGGGTGGCACTGGATGGGCTTCAAGTTCCCTTCCAATCCAAACCCATCTAAATCTCCCCCCTGTCAGTCTGAACCCATTCCCCCTTGTCCTGTCACTGCAGTTCCTGCTGCAGGGTCCCTCTCCAGCTTCCCTGGATCCCTTCAGACCCTGGATGTGACTGTGGGGTCTCCCCACAACTTTCTCTTCTCTAGGCTGAACAGCTCCAACTTTAATAATTTAAAGCTGTTTTGAATTAAATTGGCTGATGTGCCTTGATGCAAAACTCAAGGTGGTTTCATATTGCTTTAATAATCCACAGACAATGCAGCATCTTTTTCACTCAAATTTAGAAATTCGAACTACAAAAACATCAATAAAGCAATAAAGCAGCCATTACATTAATAAATGGATAATAGCACATTAAGAAATTAATCAAAGCACACATAGGGAGCTTAAGAAATTGTGTATATGCTTTAAATCAGAAATAATTGTTTTAAAAATGAGGAGTCAAAGTAGGTGTCTTCCACAGGCATCCAACATCCCTGAAAGAGGCTGAAAAATCCCCTACCAGGCTCCTTCTCAGGAGCTTCATGAGGAGATGGAAGCTCATTAAAAGGAAGGGAGGACAGATTAATGAAGGAGTGAAGTGTCTGAGGTGCCCATGGGTGCCAACTGGAGGCAAAGCAAGAGCACCAGGGGGTTTGGCAGGGAAAGGATGGAAAAAGTGCCAGGAAAGTCAGCAAGGAGCCACAGCAGGGCAGGGAGATCACTCAGAATAAACAGCTGGCCTTCAAATCCCAACCTCTGCCATGGGGAACATGAAAAGCTGCCCAAACTCTGGCAGGTGATTAAAAAACAAACAGATCTTGCCCATCTGAGGGTGGAACATGCAGTCGTTTATTTTCCTCATTAGGGAAAATCTCCCTCAGTTATTGGTGGGGTGATTAATTGACTTCCAGGTGTTCAGTACAGCAGAACTGGGTAGGCCAAAAAGCAGAACCCCAATTCCACCTTGCAACTTTTAGCACAAATATTAATAAATTTTTTAAAAATCCTCCTTCAAACAGAGCAGTGATGGGGAGCCTGCCAGGGAGTCTGCAGGGCCACGAGATGATCAAGGCAGAAAAATACTTAAAAAAAAAGCTCAGAGAGAATAAGGTAGCAGCAAAAACCTCATTTTCCTCTCCTTATTTTTGTGTTCACCATGGAAGGACAGCAGCACCTTCTCCATGTGGAATATCCAGCAAGACCTGCAAAAATCCATGGCCTTCAGAGATGTTATGGAAGGAACAAGGCAAATTTAAGAGTCCCATTTGTGCCAGGGGGTTTTAGGCTCCTACTGAGCATTGTGAATAAAATAAAGATAAAAGATATTTTTATTAAAAGATAAATAAAAGGTATTTTTAATTAATGTATTTAAATGGTGCTTAATAATTCAGGGGTGCATTTGCATTCAAAAATCCACACAGGATTTTTGGGCACCTGGCTATGTATTGATTTCACCATCCCATGATCCCAGGGAATGATTATGAAGGAATTTAAAACTGAGATGCAGAATATGCATTTGGAGCTTTCAAGAACAAAAGAAAAAACACCCCAAAATCAACATGAATTTAAAATAAAAGTAATATATTTTTTAATATTCATACTTTTTTATTATTATGATTTTAAGATGTCTAGGAATGCCAGGCTTCCAATAGGAT